CAGTCCTGCGGGCGGGTGGGGGTGGGGGGAAGCAGCGCCTGTTTTACCTCAGCCCTTTCTCTCCTCGCAGGATGCTGTGTAGCTGAGGTGGAAGATGGCCCTGTGGGCTCGGCAGGCCTGTCGCTGGCCTTGCCTCTTGCAAACGGCCCGCGCTGCTGAATTTCCTCGGAGGCTGAGAGGCTGCAGCAGCACGGGACGGGCATGTCGTGGGTTCGCCCCTCTGGCTTTGTTGCCCTCTAGAAATGACTTTATTGCATGGAGGTTGCAGGCATACAGGCATGTATCTGTAGGAAGCTGTTATCCATCCGACAGTGCCAAGGATGGATCTTTTTCGTCTCTTGGAGGTAACTTGCCTTCACCAGTAAATCAGGAACAAGCAAAAGCAGAGACATTACCTGATCTGAATCCAAAAATACTGTATGAAGGTAAGAGGCCTTAGGGATAGGTGCCATTTATCTCAAATCTCCAAATCACGTTTTCACGGTTTTTTGTCTGTTTCTCTAAAATATTTATCTGAAGTTCCTGACTTTCACTTGTTTCTACCAGTACAGTTAATGCAGAAGTCCTGTGGCCACTCTAGTATACAAAGAATACCTTAAAGCCAAGATAAAGATACAATGTTTTGGCTAGAAATGTCAATCTGGAGCTGCTGTTCAAAGAGCTTTTTTTTTTTCCGCAACTATACCTGCAGCAGCTGAGCATCTATTTAACTTTCCCTCATAGTCGTGCTGGTACAAAACAAAGGCTTTTGTTTACAGCTGGCACAACCCAGCTGTTTGAATGGTCAGGGATGGACAACAGGAGGCAGCAGAGTGTGAACCTGATTCAGTGCTGCCCTGATAAGAAATGCTCCTCAAACTGTTTTCTGAGGAAAGGAGATAGATGCAAGGTTGCCTGGGTGTTGTTACCCAGAGGAAATTGCCTCATTTTTCTCTGCTTTTATATCTTAAGTGAGAATAAAAATAATACTACTCTCTGAAAATAATTCTGGTGTACTGAGGGAACTTGCCCTGGGTTACTAAGCAATCTTGTATGTTCAGATTCAGCCAACTTGGATCCTGCAGAGCTTATTTTTGGGGTGGCTCAGAGCTGCGACTGAGACCTGTGTGTTTGTGCAGCTGGTTCTAGAAACTGCTGCACCAGAAATTACAGATCAGCCAGCTGGTATATGTCTGCACCTGCGGTGCAGTTTATCTATGTGCCAGATTTTTATCTGCCAGCGGACATACTGTTGTGCGTATGTGTGTAGAGCATTTTGCCCTGTTAGCAGTATATACAATGGAATAAATGTAATCGCTACCTTTTTTAAAAATATTTTTTTGTAACTTGAGGTATGTTTCCTGATAAGAAGTTTAAAGAACTTAAAGTGGCAAAAAAAAGGGCATCTGTGTTTCCAAAATGGACCTTGGTCTATATTGGTTTGGTCCTCAACAAGTTGAAAGCAAATACTTGATATCCATGTAGATTCCTAGAGAGTTCTTATTACTGTTTAAGGCATAAACGTTGTGAGAAACTTTTTATTGTGTTTTTGTTTCTGAGGCTTTGAGAAAAAGAAGTGGCAAGACCTTCAACAGCTATTGAGCTAGTCCGTGCAACTCTTCCTGAAACATTAGGATCATCCTACTTATTTTGGAACCTATCTTGATAGTTCTGGTGTGGCTTTGTTTTCTTGACATGGAAGAATGTTACCCTGGTCTCTAGGAAGTCATTGTGCAAAGGCACAGGGCACAGAAAATCCCCATCCTGAAGAGTTTGTTATTAGGGCTGTTGATCAGAAATCAGTTTGATAATCAGAGTGAATGCTAGCAGCCAACCTGCAAAACATTAATCTTGATCTAGATGCTGTGAGATCTTGTTGATGGAAAAATAGGTCATCTTGGAGAAATATTTTTCTCAAAAAGACACTGACCTCTGTGACTTGGAACACTTAAAGGGAAACAAGCATATTGATGTTCACTTTGAAACTTTAATGAGCAGGAGATAAGAGCTTGATTTCTTCAGCAGTGAGGTGGTGGCAGTCAGCAGGCATTTGGTAATGAATAAGACGTGATAGTTTGGTTGGAATTGGCTGTGAAATATCTTGAAAGTTATAACAAACTGCAGTTCAGGCATCAGATTCAGAAGAGGCACAGAGTAGTGGGCTTGTCAGGTTATGAAAAATAATTTTGCAGTAGCCTTTGATCTGGATAACATCAGGCAAAGATGTATTTGTGAAGACATGAAAGAAGATTCTTTTTCAAGAAGGTGATGTGATCTGCTGTCTGCAGTGATCAAGGCAGCAGACTGAAGGCAGGCTTGGTGGGTACTATGCTTAGATTTGACCACATGAGCAAGAGTTGATGAGCAGTGACAAGGAAATAGAACAGAGACAAAAACTGGGAGTCTCTGTTTTCAAGTAATAATAGATTGGCTGTTCAGCTCATGCAGAGTGTTCTTGCATTGTGAAATGGATTTTAAGAGATCTGTATAGTGTTTGGTGGGAGCAGTTTTGTCTTTCACAAAATACATTTGGATCTTCTATATTTGTTTCTTAGACTGGGATGACATCCCACCTTCATCTGCTTTGGCGGAGATTTCTGAGGAAGAAGCCATACAGATCATTGCAGAACCGATTCTTCCCCTGAAGTCTTCCACACTCCGCGATTACGTTGATCACTCAGAAACCCTGGCGAAACTTGTCCACCTAGGTATGTGTGATTTATTTTTTTTCTTTTTTTAATGTAGTTTACCGATGTCTGGAGCTTTGGAGATTATATAATTTGTGTTTTGATCTTCTTGGCTGCCTTGTAAACTTGAAAACAGGAACAGTGACCAATGGCTAAAAGCAGCAGAATGTTATCCAGGGTAGATGGAAAAAGAGAGGGAACTGCATGACTTGCTAGCAATGCCATATTACTTGAAGACAGAGCTTGCAAGTTTTAGTCTCTTAGTGCTGTGGGTGCTAGAAGGAGGCATTTCCCACAGCTTCCAGAGATGGGAAGCACTTTGTGTAGCTTGCTTGGTCTTTCTTCTTTTGGGCTGGTTAAGGATGCTTTAATTTGCTGCAAAAGAAATTGCACCTCTCTGTCCTTGGAAGGAAGGGAGGAAGGAAGGAGAGTGGTTACTGTGCAGAGCCTTAGAAGTGGGGCACAGTAAAAAAGCACCTGGACTGTGCAAGGATAGCTGAATTCAAGGTTGCTGACTACCTGCTTGTTTCCCAAAAGTGCCAGAAACACTAGAAGGAGCCTGGAGAAATAAATATTTGAGAGGAGGAGATATGGGCCCATGTAGTAGCAAATTGCTCTTTGTGAGCCCGTATCCAAAGGCACTTCACTGCAAAATTGTCCCCTTCCCTTGTACAGTGGAGTTGGGAACTCCTTGCACAGATACTTCTGTGCAACAAGAGTAGGTCTCTGCAAGTGACACATGCTAGTGTACTTGATTCCATGCATGCAAGATTCACTGCAAATGTCTTCCTTCGAAAAATAAATTCAGCAAAAGCATCTAAAATGACTGCTTGTTTTATCTGGAATCTTTCTATAATATGAAAGGTGTGATCTTGCTGTGTTGAGCAACTAAAGTATCCCAAGTTAGTGCAAAAAAGGAGTAGTCTTATAAATTCTAGCATGCTTTCCTGAAACGTTTACAGGAAGTAGAGTCTGTGTTTAATTAAAACAATTTCTAATTTTGTTTGTTATAGGAGTTGACTTATCACAAGTGGAGAAACGTCAAAAGGCAGGTCAACTCCTACTGACACTGGACTTTGAAAAAGATATGAGAAAAATACTTCTGTTTCTTAAGGATGTGGGTGTAGAAGACAATCAGCTGGGACCATTCCTGACCAAAAATCCATACATCCTTGCTGAAGATCTGGAAGCTTTAGAAACCAGGTAAGCCTTTCAAATAGCAGCAGGGTGTTTAGCCCCTTGGCTTGAAGATCTGTTTTCCCAGTTGGCTTAACCGTGTCTAAACCTGTGTTGCTGCTGCTTCCTTTCTCATTCAGTTCCTGGCTCTGTGTTCCTGTGCCCTTCTCATCAGTCAGCATTATCGTGGTGGTATTGTAAGTCGAGTCAACACACTGATCCACCTGAAACCTGACCATTAAGAAATTTTACTGCTCGTCTCTCTCTGCCACAGAAGCAGCATCTTGCACCGTAGGCCACTTGCTTTACCTATGTTAGCTTAGATTCCAAAGTGTTTAGTCCCTGAGGCTTTACCTAAATTTACAGAATATTAACCTCTTCAGTCATGCTTTGAAGCTCTCTTCTAGATGATATGTCTAGCCATACCTTGTGCATTCTACAGTAAAAGAAGCAGATGAGGTCTCTTCTGTGTTTACATCTAACAGCAGCAGCAGGTTTTTGGTGACTTTTTTTCCGTTGTTCAGTTCAAATTGAGCACAAGACTATAATGAACTAATTTTTTTGTGTGTTCACACTTGTATGGCCCTACACTGTTCCTCAGTCCATAAAATGGTCTTTTAACCTTAAAATTACTTCAGGCAGGCTTGCATTAATTCAGCAGTTGTTTTACAGAACAACTCGTGTGTGTATGTGTGCAGCTTTTAATAAAAGGTCTTAGTATTTAAAAATTCAAGAAAAGAAAGTCTGTCTGCCTTGCTCTTGTACATAATAGCTGTCCAAGACAGAAATCTGAAAATATGGAATTTTTGAAACAGGCATATGAGTAGACTCATGTCTAACATAGACCTGACTTTTCTTCTTTTTTAATCCATCCTCCTGTTCAGTAAGTGGCCTTTCAGAAACAATACCCAAAAAGAACCTGTGTAATTTTTCAGCAGTAGTTTTGAGTCTAGATGTCAGTTGCTTTAACTCTTCTGAAGAGAGTATTTTTTGCTATGATAAGCATTCTGACTCTCCTGTGAAGCCAGATTTGCTTTTCAGTGACTGTCCTGTGGCACTGCCTGGTTAGTGAAGTAAGGGCTGAACAGGACAATCCAATTTATTTATTTTTTGCAGCTTTTTTTTTCAGTAAGTTTATCTCTGGCACTTGGTGAATGCTTTCCTGCAAGCTTTGAAGTAAGTGTACTGGGGAGGGTATATGGCAGGCTGTGAAGTTAATGTGTCTTGGATAGCTGTCTTTTGAAAGCTGAGTATCACCTTCACATAAACATTTCAGTGCAGATGGACACGGTCTTGGTTACATCACTCTGGAATGTTTTATTGCTATGTATTCCACGTTGCCAAGAAACAAAACACAAGTTTCAATAGATTTGGCATTTGACTTCAGATAAACACTGTAAAAGTCAAAACATTCCATAATTCATAACAATTCTGACAGTTGCAAATCAGTGTTTGTACTGCAGCTGCACCAGATGCTTTGTTTTATGGTATTGTTAATGATGACTTAAAACTGTTAACATGTTACACAGAACTGCTGACCCCTGTAGTAGAATGAGGGCTAACCTTGGTGCCAACATTAAAAAATTTATCTCAAACCTTGGTCAGGTTGGATGACTGCTGCTTTAATATACCAGTTTCTAGAGGCAGGTTATTACAATCATACTATCCCTCTTTTCAGCTTCTTGCCTTTCCAGGATGTGAAGAATTGCTTCAGGTGTGAATCTTAATGACTTGCTAACAGAAAACAAGTGGAGGGGAGTCTGTTCAACCAAATGGTTTTATTTTTAATCTGCCCATTTAGCTATGTTTCTAGGATGCTTAGCAGTTGTGCCCTTGAAAAATTGAATGGAAGAAGTGTAGCATAGCCAAGCTGCAGCATTCAAAACATAATGGTATAATTTTTGAAGGGCCAGTTGTGTATTACTGTGTTGTGCATTCCTCCCCCTCTGAACTGCTCCTTGTCTTTGAGGCTCCTGTAGCCAGTTCCATCAGTGTTACCTGGAGCCTAGGCTGCTACCTTCTGCCTGCTTAATTGGGAATTGGTCCTTCAGAGCTTGTTCTTAGATCCTCTGTGTAGAGGTTTTCAGCTTGTAATGACTTCATTTTTGAGGGTTTGTGGAAAGAGGGAGGTTGTAGTGACTGAAGGTATTTTTATTTTTTTTCTCTTCACAAGACATGATTTAAAGCACAGCCCATCTTTGCTGAATATCTGCTTCTGCAGAATTTTCTGCAATCTATTTAGTGTCTTAATTACTGTCAGATAAATTCAGTTCTTGAATGCTCTAAGTTCATCTGACAGGAAATACTTCTGTATGTGCTTATCTATAACCAAAGGGAACCTCTTCAAATTGTAGGGTTTTTTGGTTTTTGTTTTGTGGTTTTGTTTTTGTAAATGGTGGCACATGAGCTAATCATGTCTCTTTATTATGCGTGCTGTATTTTCCCCCATTCCTTTTTCTGGGAGCTATGGTAATAATCTACTGCATGTAATACTTGAAATGGGATTTCACTTTCACTGAATTCAACAAAGTTTGGAAAAAATTTTTGAGTTGGAAAGAAAGCAAGTGCTGTTAAACATAAAAACTTTAGTCAGCTCCTGCTCCTTACGAAACATCTGGTTGTCAGAAACTAAGTCCTTGGACAACTGATTGAAAGTAAGGACCTATTGTAGCAAAAGTAACATCAGATGATTTAGAAATGTCTTTTTGGACAATGTCTCCACAGATAGCTTTGTTGTACGATACTTCTACTGCAGTGCTATTGGCAAAACAGGGATGTATGAGGTATAGTACTCTGTTCTTTCAGCAGTAGAAATGGAATTCATTAAAATAGCAAAAAGCTGTATATATCTTCTTGTCCATACCCTATGATCTATTAATGTGTTTGCAATCTAGGAGACAGGCTGGTAGTTAAACATAGGTTAACATAGATATCTGCTTAAGTACAGCTGGAAGGAATTAAAATCTGTCTTCAGTATTGACATTCTGCTCTGAAGTTTATTTTACTTCTAATTAATTGGAAGGGATAGTATTTTGCTTTTATGATAACTGCAGATTTCCTCCTAATTATTTTTGGCAGGGTTGCATGTTAATGCTAGAACATCTGTCCGTTTATAAGATATCACTGAGGAATTTAAGCAAGTACTGAATAAATGGAGGCAATAAAATTTTCATCACTGGATTTTATTTTGTTTTTGTTCTCTTTCTAGAGTGGCTTACCTAAAATCAAAAAAATTTGGAAAGCCAGAAATTGCTCATATGGTCTCAAGAGCTCCGTATTTGCTGTTGTTTTCAGTGGAAAGGCTGGATAACAGACTGGGTTTCTTCAAAAATGAACTTGGTCTCAGCGTAAAGAAGGTAAAGACTATACACTGAAGTCTTTAGGTACTTTGTAAGTGACAACTGTAAGACCTTGGAACATGAATACTTAGTGTTTGGAGGTTATCCACAAACATTAGTGACATTACTGATGGTAACACAGAGGGTTACAGGAGGATAGCATGATTTTAACTGTCTATAGAAGTAATACGGACATCTGACATTCAAAGATCCTAAAGTACAGTTCTTGAAGATGATCTGCTGCAGGTTACTGTCAAACAAGCATGTGTGTGTTCCGTTTTATTATCTGAGGCGGGTCAGAGGACTGAATCCATTGCTGAAACAGCAAGCAGCTTTTTTAACTTCTAGAAAACTAATTGGCTCTCTTAATCTCTTCAAGATACTGTAACATACTTACCTCACTGGTGAAAAACAGTCTGATCTGTTAATATCATACCAAACTAAATGTCAAATCATATGCTCAGCTCACCAAGAATAACCCCCAAGTTTGCTCATGAGAGTGCTTTCACATTATGTGCTTAGCAGGTATTTAGCACCATGCTTCAGGACCTTCAGAGGAGGTTTCCTGGAATAAATGGGCAGTGTTAGTTGTTTTCTGTAGTAGCTGGGGATTGCAATAAATATCACGTTGCAAGTGGAATCTGGTGTTCTTTCATTGGTTGCTGTTTGCTGAACAGTCATAGCTGTCTCAGTGCCTGTTCCTGGCCCTTACATGCTTGAGGTAAGAGATCTCTCTGGATAAGGGTTGAGTCACTGCCTTGTACTTGTGGCAGATTACAAGTAATCACATGGCTTAGGGGATGTGGAGTAATTTCTTGTATTGCCATAATATGGTCTAACCAGATCCTGAGGTAGACAAATTCCACTGCTGTTGAAAAATCCTTTTATAGCCTCTATCAGGTAGTGTTATGTTTACTTTTTTAAAAAAGGTGGGAAGAAACAACTTGAGCACTGAGAAAGATTGGGCACTTGAGCATGCTTTGTACTTTTGGGGTATATTTTTACCCCCTCTTCCTGTCTGTTTTACAACAGCTACGTTATTTTTTGTTTTCCAAGCAAAGATATTTGAATAACTTTTTGCATCTTAATATATTGCTGCTTCCTGAAAATTCATCTTTGGTGCAGAGATAAAATGAAGTGCAAGTGAAAGTGCATCCCTTTTCCATTTGGGGAAAAAAAGATCTTTCTTTCATAGATGGATTCACAAACAAACTTTCAGTAATAATCTTTCCTCTATGTGTTTTCCCTAATTTTAGACAAAGGATCTGGTCATTCGTCTTCCAAGGCTACTGACTGGCAAATTAGAGCCTGTAAAAGAAAATCTTCAGGTGAGCTTATTAGTAGATATTAAAAGTGTATGGTGTATCCACATAGTTTGAGTTGACAGAAATTCCTGGAGGAGAATCCCACACAGGAAAAATTTAATGAAATCATTTTAATGGATATAAAATAACTGAGCATTTTGTTAAACCATTTCTTTTCCTCCATGGCTTGCAAGCTTACAGCATATGTGGAGCAGTATTTTATTCTGTCGTCTTCTCTGATGTAGGTTAGAAACTTCATCTGGGTCCCTTCCTGCCAAAAGTTGCTATCTGATGACATGAGTTGTTACACATTTCTTTACAAGGAGTGAAAAATAGGGCCTGCTTGTTCCTTTTTTTTGCCCCTTAATTATTAATTTTTTTTGCTAACTTGGATTGTCCATGAGGATTTAGGAGCAAGAAATGTGCAGCTGATTATTTTCCTTTTGGCAGGTACCTAGTCTGCCAAAATGTGTATTTGACACCTATTGTCTGATAGCAGATGGTCATTATTAACAACTGTTGGGTAAATAACTTCAAACCCTCTGGGACTCCTTTTCTCTTTGAAAATGTAACTATGTATTGGTTTAATTATTGTGCTGTAAAGCTATCTAGGCCAAACAGCATGATGTAGTGTAACAGTTTGAGAAACCTCATTATCCTATAATGCATAAGTATGAATTAAAATATATACTTTTCAGACAGACTCACTGCTCTGAAACTATTAAACACTGGGAATCTTGCAATCTGAAATGTGTGTGGTAAGGGAGGAGACTGAAAAGTAGCAGATTGTTCCAATTAATAGTGCTTTCTTTTTAATGAACGTTGTTTCCACAGGCTAAGAATTCAGTGTATTGCAATGAATGTGTTTTAAGATCCTCATTTCTATGCAACTATCTTGTCTATCTACGAAAAAGTGTATGGTGTGGCATCCTTATTTTTAACATGTTCTAGAGAGAGAGGAAGGATTTGTAGGTCCTTACTATTAGAATCTACTGATACTGATAAGTTCCAGCCTTTCAGGAAGCTGGATGTCTGGGTTCAGACCTGTATGTCCTAAGCTGGGGGGCGCAGGCAGGACTCAAAGTGGAACCATACAACACCAGCAGCTCAGAATTGATCTGGTGGTATCCCTCATTCTGAGTGGGCTGTTATTTAGAAACAACTGCTGTAGCTGATACTGGTTGTCAAATGATACCAATCATGGACTAAAGGAGCTGAAGGATGGCTTACTCCACCCTCTGAAGGTTTCATCAAGCACAATTAGAGATTCACTGATAGGGTAAAACAAGAAAGCTTGTGTTACCACTGCCTGCTGTAGGAATCGGAGAGAGTATGTTGAATACTGCTGAGGCTTACACAGTAAGGATATTTGCATCTGTGGTCTAGAGAGTTACTGAATATTAAATACGTATGCTGTCAAACTGAGTACAGTCAAAGCAACTTACACTTGAGCTCACTGTTGACATGAAGAGAGAGCTGTTCCGTTTCACTATGTAAAAAAAGCTCAAGATTCTTGACCCAATTACCTCTACAGCAGGGCCAGCTTTACACCCCAGCTGTTTAACATTGGGTCTTACTCTTGGTTGTATCTTAATGCAGCAAGTTACCCCTGCCAACTCACATCCATGGAAGACACCATGCAAATGGTGCAAACACATGTCTTCATATTTGAATGCTGTCTTAGTTGATCAGTATTTCTTGTTGTACACACAAATTTGTAAAGCAGATAAAGAACCACGAGTTGAAAGACCAGATTATAGGCACCTCAAGAAACAATTATCTGGAAGTCCTAAGGTAGCTTCAAAACCCAGATTCTTAGCCCCTCCCTTTGTATTTGCCAGGCAGTTTTGGAAAAGAGCTGGAGTCTTGGCACATCAAAGTGGAAAACCAAAAAGCACCACCTTTTTGCCAACTGAAGAAGTACCTGAGTTGGATTTGAAAGGCTGGTTATGTTCACTGGCAAGCACACCCACTTCATGACTGAAAACAAGCTCCTTGTAAATGTCACTGGAGGATAGAAGAAATGGCTGGGTTACCAGACACTCTTGTATGCTGAATTCCTTTCTCAGCAACTCAATGAACTGCTTGCCATTCTGCACTTTGGGAGGAATGCTTATGATTTTATTGAAAAAATGTGTTTTGTTTTCCTTTTGGGAAACCATAACTGAAGTCAAGGCAGTCTGAAAAAGACATCTTACTTTTAGTCAAAAAACAACTGTAAAAAAAAATTTGAATACACTGTGCATATTCTACACATTATCTTTCAGGTTCAACAGACTTCAGTTGAAGACCACAGGACTGAAGTTATGCTCCCTAATATAAAAATAGAACTTGGCTACATTATCAAAAGAAATAGCACATTAACAAAAGTAGTCACTAGCTATTTGACTGCTGTGTTTTACAGATCTCAACAGCTCCACAACTAGAAACTCAGTCTCTTCTGACAGCTTGTTTTAGAAACTGATAAAAGACTCTTGGGGGAGAATTTTTATGCTTGTTACTGCCATGCATACTAAGACACAACTTTGCTTGTTTGCATCTCAGACAAGCTGAAAAATACATAGCATTTACAGAAGTCATATTTACTTCAGAAATACTCTATAAACAAGTTACACTTTAATCTAGAATTATAAATAATTTGCACTGTCTGACTTGAGGAGAACTGGAGTGGCAGATATTGTGGGATGCATTCTTGTTGCTGTGACAGAGTTGAAGAATTTTGCATTAGTTTATTTCAGTGGCATGCTAAAATAAGAGAAGGTTGCTGTAGCTGACTTTTGAAGATAAAATTGTTCTTTTTTTTCAGGTTTGTCAGATTGAACTTGGTTTTCAACGCAATGAAATTCAACAGATTGTGTTCAAAACCCCCAAGATTTTAACTGCAAGTAAAAAGAGACTCAGACAGACATTTGACTATTTACACAACATAATGGGCATTCCTCACCACATGCTTACTCGCTTTCCTCAGGTGAGTTGTTAATCTGGGAGTAAATTGAAGGTGCTCTTTGCACAGCTGTTTCACTAGTTTAGTGCTGAAAGCAGAGCCTCACTGTATGGAGGACACATGGGGCTTTTACTCTTGATTGAGATAACTTTAAATAAATCGATAAACTGCTGAGCAATTCAGCAAACATTGAGGATTCCAGTGTGGAAGTACCCTTCTTCTCCCCCCTGGCACATGTGACACCAGCACCCCCACCATCCCCAGTCTTGTGAATTTTTAAGTCTTGAACAGAAGTAGTTGTGATTCTCCCCCTCTGCTCTCGTGAGACCCCACCTGGAGTACTGTGTTCAGCAAAAGAGTTCCAGGATATGGCTAGTGTAGCTCAGGCTGTATATGGTTTGGCCATTAACTTTTACATTCACAAATGCATACTTGTCCACATCTGTTCATGCTTCTAGGCTGAATGACAGTAATGCTGAAAATAAAGAGTCATACAGGTTTTTTTGTCAAATCCTCTCAAGTCTTACAGCTGCTGTTGTAACCATCCTTCCTGTCAGCTAGCTCCATAAACCATGGCTAAGGTTTTTTTTCCTGTCTTCTGACTTCCTCTTAAAATACAAGGAAGATAGAGGAGGGACAGTAGTTTTGCTTTCTGTCTTAGTTCAAATTAATTTGCATTCTCATGAAATCCTTCCTTCAGTAGTGTAGTCAGTCCTTTTTAGTAAAAACTGCTCACTTTCATTGCTATAGCATTCCTTTTTTCACAATTATCTCCTCTAAAGCAGTGTCTCTCTTTAGTTGTACTGCTCAGAAATGCAGTTAAGACTCTGCTTTTAAGACTTTTTAATTGTGCATCTCTTTTCTTTCCAGCTTCTTTCTTTGACTTCAGATTTATACTGACTTCTGTCATGTTTCCCTTACCATTGTTCTCACCTTTGGCTGTCTACAATTCTTTGTGTGACAAATACCTTCCAAGCCAGGCACTTATGTGCAGCAGAAGACAAGTGGTTGTTTTAAACCACTCCACTGTGCCTTTTGGCTGTGCTATGACAGGAGGTGCAGCCATTCATCTTTTCTGTTGCCACTGCAATTCACTCATTTGTATCATGCAATGTGGTCGCCTGTTCATTTCTTTCTTATAACAATGCTCATCTGAATATGACTGTATACATAAATGCTTCTGATAATATAAAGAAAATGCTTAGGTATTCTTGTTCTGTTTCTGAATATCTCCTTTTCACTTTCTTGGCTGTGATTACATAAAACTAATATAGTTATCATATATAAATAAAAATCCTAACATTCTTGAGAATTTCTCTCCAATTTCCCTTGTGTGTGTACCTCAGCATATTGTACTGAAATCTGCATTTGGAATTTAGATAATTTATATATAAATATAACCTACCTGGTGTTTGACATAAATGAGAATGAAAGATGCAGATTTTTTTTTTCTTCCTAGATCTTCAGTTTGTCTAAAAAATGCCCTTATTTTAGATTCATCAGTCTCTGAAATTTAGACAACCTAAAAGATTCTTCCCTTTCTTTCTTAGGTTTTCAACTCAAAGCTATTACGAATCAAAGAGAGACATACATTTCTCGCATTCTTGGGAAGAGCCCAGTATGACCCAGCACAGCCCAGCTATATCTCTCTGGACCAGCTAGTATCCTTGCCTGATGAGGTGTTTTGTACAGAGATTGCAAAAGCTTCTATACAGGACTTTGAAAAATTCTTGAAAACACTTTAATTAGTAACACATGTAAAAAAGAAATAGAATGAAGTTATTAAATAAACATATTGTATTAAACTACTCTTTATGGTCTCTTAATTACTGGCTTAAGAAGTTATTGCTTATGAAACTTTTGTAGGATTTAAAGGCTCACAGTAATATTCTTTATGGTGACTTAAAAATTTATTTCAGAAGGATTAAGTGAATGTATGCTGCTTGCTACTGATGCAATCCTTGTAATTAATTGCTAACTTAATTCAGAATGAATGATGCAGCACATTAACAGAAAAGTAAATTTAAGTGGATTATTTTTTTTTTTTTACTTTCAATAATTTCAGAGTCTGGGGAGATGGAAAAACTGACTCGTGACTTATTCCCTGTCTCCCCCTGTCCCTCCCTCCCAAAAGTTAGAATAACAAGCTAATGGAGTAGAGCAGGTGATATGTCTGCTTTTAGTTAAGAGCTAACGATGCTGTTATTTTCCTTGTATGGTAGAAAGAAGTACACCTTTACATATGTGAAGCCCCTCATACAAAAGGGCAACAGATTACTAAGGTGTTTCTTTGTGAAGCAGGCTGCTGAAATTAATATCCTAAAAGCGAGCAGTGAAATTTGGTTTGATGTATCAAAGAAAATCGGCAAACTGAATCCAGGCAAATTACAAAAAGAAAATCAGCTCCTCCTAGATTTCAAGGGCATGTATAGTTTTATTTTAAGTCACTTTTCCCCTTGTTGAGAAGGGAAAGTGGTTTTCTCCCACCCCAATGAGATCTGTATGGCTTTAGTATACAAGTAACTGTAGGAAAAAGAGGCTGTAGTATATTCTTGGTTGACAGAGTTATCTTCCTTGGTTATAACAAGTGATGTTAATGCTAACATTAGGAATTGTGGGAGTATTAAAAGTACTTAATCCTATCAGTAAACAAATTGCATTAATAGGGAATTATCAAATGCTTCAGTGTATTTGGACAAAGTGAAGAAACTGACTACACCCAAATGCAAAAATTTATTGTTTATAAGTGTCCGTTCTTTTAGTTAAAACAGTTCAGGAAACTGAAATCTGGATGTTTTCATATGGATTTAAGCTTATTTAATGAAAAAGTCTCATTGTTCAAAAAGGTTAGTGTTGGAGCTTAAAATAACTTTGAGTCACAGAAGTGTAAGAGCCTGATTTTGTATGCATAGAGCAGAATACAGTTCTAAAGGTTAAGTTCCCCTAATAGGTGGAAAATACAGTAATGTTTAAGAGACATTTAAAGAACAGTGTAGTGATCTCTGGATCACAACTTGGGTCTCTTGTCCAAAACAAATATTCAGAACTTGAATTACAACACCCAAGAAAAGGAGCGTTGTCAGAACAAGCAGGGTGCAAAATTATTTACTGGAGCGTCTTCACTTGAAACACAGTAAAAAGCCACATTTGTTGCCTACAATATATATCTGAGATACACTCTTTTGTTCTCATGTTTCCCACTCTGGGCCTGGGAAGATCACTTGAAAAGCTCTGTTGAGCAGACTGTTGGTGGAGATGTATAACACTTCATCTAAAGTGGTGGCTGACACCACTAAACACTTCACCCTGTTCCCTCTTTCCAAGTAAAAATATCCAACTCTAATTCAATATGCTTACTTGATTTTGCCTGTATTAAATGCTAGTAAGATAAAATCTTCAAACTAGTAAAAATTTAATATTAATAGAAATAATGTGGGTTCATAATGCCAAAGTAGAGTTTGCTTTTGAAGGCTTACTCTGCTGTATTTGTCACGATCTGTATTACCATGTGACAAACCATTGTAATATAAATTATATTACAGAATGTGTATTATATTTTGCATGTCTCAAACTTTGAGAATTTAATTTTTTATATTATTAAATGTAAAAATGATTGCTGCCAAAGCTAAACCAATTTGTTTGAAATGTTAAATACGTGAGCCTATGCCAAAATAGCTTCCCATAAATACCATGAAGAAAGGAAGCAAATGATTTTATGGGAGTGCTGAAGGGAAGGGGGAGAGAGGATAGAAGAACTTTTTGAAGATCATGCCAAATACTTTGGCTTTAGGATGAAAAAAAATATTTAGAAGAAATGTTTGGCCTAGTATTACCAGACCTATTGTAATCTGCTGTTCTTGGTAAGGGCTAGCAGGCTTGGCTTGAGCACACTGATTAATTGTGCTTGGTGGGCACAATATGGCAAAGACCCTTAGTGGTCTGCTGACACGCACTCTGAGCTGTGCTGTTTGCCTGCCTGTCACATTCAGCCGCATGTTTTTCTGACTGAAATTGCCTACTATAGCAAAATTTCTATAATAATACTATGTATTTATTTATTTAAAAATGTAGTGGTCTGTGAAGGAGTTGCCTGGGAGAGACAATTGTCTGTGCCTCAGAAAATAGAGCTGTTCACCTGGCAGCTGCCATACCTGTACAGAGAGAGGTTCCTGCATCTGTCTTTGACTGCCTCAGTACTTTGCAAACAAATTTTTAGCAAATACCTTCCTTCACCCCTCAGTTTGCTGATATAGGTCTGCCAGTTCAGCTGCCATGACTGATGGCTGGATTACCGTAAATTGAAGCCAGTGGTTGGTTGCTCACACGCACTCTGCAGTCTCCGAGTGATAGCCCTGGCCAGGCAGGCTTGCTGGTGGGAACGAGAGCACCACCACCAGTGAAGGCAGTGGCTGGGACTACGGTAGCAAAATACCCATTTTTCAGTCGCTGGCAGTTCGCTGAGGCGCTGCAGTGTGTGCGCCGTGAGGCGGCTGGACCATGTTCTGAACAAGCATTAATTAACCTAGGCGAAACTACCGATTCTCCAATATTGGTCTTCACTGTGGCCACCTCGGCCTCATCAAAAAGAGCCCGGTGTCTGCGCCCGCCCACGGCGCCCCGCGGCCGTTACAACGAGCCCCCGCGCCAGAAAGCGGCCTACCGGGAGGCTGAAGCAGGGACAGGCCACCGCGGCGGAGATCGAGGGGCGGTCTCCGTCCTTATGGGATGTTCGCCACTCGCCTATGTAAAGCAACGGGCGCTCCAGCGTTACCGGCACAAGGCTGGGCTGCTCCGGCGGGGCGCATGCGCCAGCGCTGAGGCAGTATTGGCGCGTTCGCCCCCG